GAGTAATGTGATTCAAGCAGATTAGTTCACTGGCCGCGGGTGATTTACAGATCAAAGGTGGGTTAGCTATTGTCGAAAACTGGACCAAGCACAAAGAAAATGCGCATGGTTGAAAATTTCAACTGCACTCAATTCCAAACAATTCTTTGGGACAGCTAAAGTTCTCCATCGTAACTAACAGTCTTTGGGACACATAAGGCCGTTTTTAATCGTAGATACTTATGAACTTGACTCAACTTTATATGTTAAGCTAATTTGTGGAACTACAAAACAGCGCCAAGTAATTAGTTTGTCACTGTATCCAACAGACGGATACCCACAACTTGGTAATAATATGATACCTTCACTTTAAACCTTGGATGATACTTTACGCTTTCACTTCATAAAATATTTTCATGTCCAGAAGGTCGTCGTCCATGCCATAATTAGTCGAATAAATCTGCACTTTTTCTGGCTTGCATGGAACGTGTGCGTCATAGTTTTTGAAAACGCACTTGTCGAATGTGTAAGTGATTGCACTCTCCACCAGCAACGCATTTGTGTCAGTCGCTAATCCATTGGACCATTATTCAAGTTTGCCTGATAAGGCTATGATAAGTTACATCAAGAATCTGTACACCATCAGTCTACCCACATTGTGGCTAAACCCACTCACCTAGTCTACCCCTGTTCCCACTCTTAGCGGCCTGTTCCGGTTGCACGCACGAGGAGGAGGTATCCATGGTCGCCTTACAGCCTCTTTGCAGCACAGTGACTATTTAGTGATTCCGTTTATCACTATTGCTCCTTATTGATCCAGGTGTCACACTCCAACTCAGGGGCTTGCTTTTAACGGGTATGGCTTGAGAAAACCAGTTGAATCACATTTTAAACGCACTACTTTCACCCGTATATTGGGAGCCTTACACTTCGCACATCTTGGGCACTGCAGACGTGGACAGAAAAGACCTAATCTTGAAATCGAGTTTGACAGGGGTGGAGAGGGCTGTTGGCGCACTTACGATTGAGAACGCACTGAACTAGGTCCTTCGCTGTGTTACGGTGAAACTAGATGGAGCCGGATGGATCAGGACTAAGGCAAATTATGACATGAAGTAGCTGCTGTTATACGCGTATTTATTGAGGCAATTCACGCTTATTCCACTTTGTCTAAGACGTTCATGTTTAATCACACTAAATAAGTGACAAGTTGTTTAACTGTTCTTCCTGCATCAGTAAAATGTATCTAGTAATTTATAATATTGTAGCTGCACACGGTAATTTACACAATAAGAGTAGACAGTTATACACAACCGATGGCTGCTGGATTCGTTGTCCCTGGGATTTCTGGAAATACATGAGTTCCAGTTTATATATCCCAGATTTCATTGAGACACACCGTAAAGGACTTTCATCCTTTTTAGTAACGATCAACGATGCATATCTAACCATTCGACGACTTTCCTCTCGGTAATCTAACATTAGACCGTTTGCCACGACTGGCTGCTCTCTCTTGTGACAAGTTGGCAACCAGGCAGGATGCGGCAATTAAGTCTCTAATCACAGACTTCGTGCCAAGTTGTGAACTGTTGAAGAGCTCCTTGGATAACGATCGGCCAGCCATTGGCCCAAGGATTTCCTTCTTTTTTTGAGAACACCACTTCCCGTCAGGGTTTGCGACGCATGCTTTTCAGGACTTCTTTTTAAAGGTGGAAAATTACTATCGTATTCAGTCTAGATCAGCAGGTGACCTGAAAATTTGGGTCACGGTGAGCAAACTCGAAGAATGCAAGGGTAAAGTGGCTCAAGTGATTAGAGTACGAATTTACTGACCAGAAGGTCTGTTGTTCGAACCCGACCTTTGCCTCTCGATTTTCATTTTTTAGGCTTGGGCATCCCAGCCCTCATGCTTTCTTCGGGTGGCGTGGCGATCAGGCACCGTAAGTGTGTTTCAGCCGAACGACTGACTGTTCTACAGCAGGATTTACTGTTGTAAAACCAGGCATCATGTGTATAGTCCTAGGTGCACTTCCCCAGTTTTTTAGCGCTCGTACATACGGGAACCCTCGGTTACCTTGCGCACAGCAACGGTTGCTGTCTCCAGTGATAAAACCACACATGTATTATTCACCTGTTTGCCTAATTAAAAAAACAACAATTTCAGCTTTTTTAAGATATAATCTCCCATTAGTTAGTCATTCAAATGTTCGCACGTGACGTTAAACGAAGCTTATTGCGTTAGTTTATTTGCTCCGTAACTCTGATGTACAGTTCCATTACAATGGTATTTGATATATCGTTATCCTGGACTTTTGTCGTCAGTGGAACTCCGCAAACATTGTTTGCACTGCATAACCCGCTAAACCGAATTTAATTCGCTGTCCAGTATCCGGCACTTAAACCGACTCACACTGGCTGCCCCAACAATGCTTAACTTCTCGCAGGTAGATGATCACAATTTTGCTCACGCCGGAATCATTCAAATAATCATGCCCCACGTCATGTGATTTATAACCCTGACAAAACGCCGTTTTGTACCTGCTTCGTAATTAAACCATTATTGAACAAAATCTGAATAAATAAATGAATAAATTAAATGGGAATGTTGCATCATTGAATGAGGTAAGTTTTTAGCTTGCTACCATCTCCCGAACAGGTGGAAGGGTCCGTATCAGCATTGTTCAATCGAGACTGTGCACGTGAATCAGACGAGTTCATTTGTGGAAGTCCATTAAACGACTTATTGGGCGATTGACAGGAGTATCTGGTTGGATGGCTTTGAAGGCTACGGGTCCGTCAGGTGCAGCTGTACGATTCAGACATGAGGCGCGACTTTGAAGCTTGGTTTATACATACATTTTGCATAGCTGATTAGTGTTTTTCACGCATGAGGCCATACTTCACTTTCAGAGTTATGTAACCAGTGCTTATCTATAGGCTGGATGCAGATTCAAGCACTATGGATCCAACAAAATTTTAAGCTGCTGCTCTGGACCGGAACGATTAGGGGAATTTTGGGACCACTCCTTTTGCGAGCTACGATGATTGACACTGCTATCACATGTGTCTCTGCACTCTGGCATAAGCCTAAAATTAAGTGCTAGGTAACCGCATGCTCCAATGTTTGGAGCAAGTGCAGATCGTCAATGCGGTCTGTTTACAAAGGATGGCGTGATGTCGCATTAGGCTCCCGTTGTTCGCGAGTATCTTACTATATGAATATGGATGGCCGACACGATTTTCGTAACTAGATCACTTGGGATTCGTCTGACGCGGTCACCTAAAATCAACGGCATATGAGTACGGTAACTATAAGGAGTTAAATTCATAACACATGTCGTCAAATCTCTAGGAAGACTGGAAACTTTTCAGTTAAATGTGTGAGATGAGTCTTCTTGCTTTATGACTATGGTGTTAGAGGATGCTGACTTGATTATAGTGCCTGATAAATATCAGTCCCGTTTACCTACGGATGGGTGCCACCCGACTGCCTTTCGGGCCTTCCTGTCCTATCACGCAACAGCGCGTTCATTGTCGCTCAAGCAGCTATTCTACGTCTCGAAGTACCAGCTGATTGTGCAACCCGGTCTGCCCCAATCTGTAGGGTGCACTTATTTGCCAGCTGTGTCAGAGCTACCAGTAGAAAGGTGGGGGAAATTTCCCAATAAATGGCACTGCTGTAACGAAAACAATCTTGTCTTCAAAAGTATACTTGACGCTGGTATGAAGCAAACGATATAACAAAGATCACCAAGGTGTATTTTGAATGAAATGCAAGCGCTTATTATTATCTAACATGTGAACAAGAAATACTGATTAGGAATTAGGTATCACGAACTATGACTGACCAGTTTGTTCAAGATAAGTGTTTAACACAATATTCCTCAGCAATTTCACATATTTTTGGGCATACTAGCTTTTTAACTTGAAACGTCCAAAAAAGATTCTGACACACGTTAGAGGTGAAAAAAAAACATGCTCCAAAGAACAGCGGACTGATTAGTTTGAAGAAAAAGCTATCAATTTAGACTCAACAAAAACTTCAAAACGCGCTTAGCCTTTTTCTGAAGCGGTGGAAAACGCGCTAAAATGTATGAATATATAACCAAGAGCTTTCGAAATTCGGGCTTTATGCTTAATATTGTGAAAAAAAGCCGCACTTTCTGTAATTTTAAATCAGTTGACTGATTGTAAGTGTTAACCTCCTCACTGATTTGAATGCTGTCCGGTACCTTGTATTCTCCAAAAAGACTCCACAAATCCAAAACATCCATGGTGAGATATAGAGTTTCCAGTGACCTACCAAGTACTGTTGAGCTTCACGTGTTCAACAGTTTCTATTCTGCTAGCGAGATATATTGGTAGCTCAGATAGCTTAGATGGTTGTGCATAACCAATAACCCATCAATACGTACCACTATGCCCCCTAACAACGCACTGATGATTTAATCTCTATTGGTGACGAAACGTTTGCAATTAAATTGCCCAGCTCATCCAACAAAGTAACGTCCAGTTACTGTTTTCTGGCTGACCCAAAAGGGATTTTATACTGTTCTTAATAGATAAAGGAGGGGTTTCATGGCCACTTTCTTTGGGCTCAATTTCTAGGCCAAAATCCTCTTTCAGTCGCTCAACAAACACAAATGTATTAGAATGCACACTCACATGACTCTCGTTTGAACAATCGTCCTTCTCACCTGGCGCAATCATTCCGGTGAATCCAAAGAGGGGTAAGCACTGGACTCTAGTTTTGCCCTTATTCTCATCAACAGTGCATATCCAGTGGAGGTGCCGGCCGCAAGTCTGATTTGTGAGGCGAGTGCAAACATCCTCACCTGTTCGGACGTAAAAATTCGGATGAGTGCAGCGTGTGCTGGTGGAGTGGTGGGAAAACGCTCACCCCGCCTGTCAGATGCACGGAGTACAAACCCCAGTACCGCCAAGGATATGCATTACTGATGAACTCTAATAAGAGCGAAACTCAAGCCCACTGTTCCCCCCTTTGGTGTGGACTCACCAAAATGACTGCGCCAGGGCATGAGGACGATTGTTCAAACGAGAGCCATGTAAGTGTGAATTCTACAAAATCCCGCACCACCAACACCTGAAGCAGATGTATTAGGCTGCAGAGTTTACCTTTGTTTGCTGCATTTGTAAATGGTATCCATCAGAAGGCTGCTTTGCAAAAATTCGTCACATTCTTCGCTTGAGCGTAAATACATCACCAAACTGAGCTACGACGTGTTGGTAATAACGTGCCAACTTTTTTCTCAGATCATGTAAATTGCAAAAGACGTCCAGATCACCCACACTTACTTTTCTAAATCCTTTTTAAAACGAACAATAAGAGAATGGGACTTAGCAGCGAACTCAGGAACCCAATCAAGGCACTTACGAAGAGATGTAAAGCGATCGCGGAACACTTTGTGGAAACCTGAAAAATACCGCTGCTTTCCATTTTTTCGAGGAACGATTTTCAAGTCAGATTTCATTCTGTGGTGCAAAGAATATTAAGCTAGAGCACAGTTTATTACTCTTCATTAGTGGGAGCCTGAAGACCACTTTTTTATATATAGATACCTGGTTATGCCACAGTGAAAACTCTAGGCTAAGGACTTTTTGACCTCAAGGGTGATATCTGTTTGGTAGATCGGCATACTACGCTTTTGGTACCAGCAAATATAACAACATAAAATTCCCCGAAGTATAATTATCAAAACCGTTCAGCTGTAACACCGTTTCGGTGCCTATGAGCCATGCCACCCGATGGAAACAAGAGGGCTGGGATGCTGTCAGGTTGCCCAAGCCTAGACATGAGAAGTCCAGATGCAGAGGTTGGACCTTTCGGTCAGTAAATTTGCTCTCTGACCACTGGGTTATCTCGCCCCCGAAGTATGAACGAGAATAATTTGTAAGCAAAGAAATGAAGAAGCAAACTGCCGAATAAATGAAATACTTAAATAGATGAGTGAATAGTTGCTTAAGCAGAAATAATAATTTACTCCGGAGGTCGCCAAATAAATGCGAATAATCTCACGGGGATTTGCAAATGGATTGCACTTGACTGCCAGGAAATAATGCTTCAAAGTGACCACATTCGAAAAAGCATGTTGTTTGTGAAACAAGGAAAAAATTCTCAGTGATGCGAGTGTTTGATTAATAACAGCATTTTTGCACAAGAGTGCACACGTATGCATCCCCGACTCTCCTTCTACATAGAAATATTAACCACAAAAATTTGTGAGGAAACTTGAAGAACCTCAGTTCTATTCATTTAGGGTGGCGGTGGATCAGGTGAATGCCATCAGACTTGGCGAATAAATTACAAAAGTTTTGACAGCACCAGATAAAATATTATCAGTTCACAGGTATGTGGATATTATCCTTTTTTCGGCCTCAAATTTTATAGCTTTATCGTGATTGACTGTTTATAGGGCATTTTGTGTGGAGTCTGGTTGATCGATTTGCGATCTACTTTGTGTTCTGGTCCGAATTTCCTGGGTTCGATCGGTTTGCTACCTACTGTCGTTTCCACTCATTCTTTCCTGTTCTAATTATTGCGTCTGCAACCTGTTTTGCTTCGCGGCACGCCATTTTTACTCGATTGGTTGTGTTTACCTACCAGTTTTAGTAATTTTTGTGTTTTTTTTAGATCGGTTCATTCCAACTTTGCGACTTTTTCCTTGGACTGCCTTCAGCGTTCTCACTATTTCGGTTCTTGAGTTTGCTGGTCTCTGTTGTAAGTAAAACATTTCAATTATTTATCACTTGAGTCTAAACGTTTTCATTCCAGTTCTATTGGCCTCTTATTTGATTCCTTTTGCAGCTCGCAAATGGCCGGTTTTGGATATCCTTTTGCTGCAGAGGTGGATCGATAGGTTCCTTCCCGTTTGCTCCAGATGGTGTTCGTCACATTTCTTATATTGAATTTTGTAGGTAACATTATTCTTTTTGTTGGTATCTGGTTTCCCCCCGGTTTTGACATTTTCCTTTTGAGTGTGTACGTTGGCTCCAATGTACTTGCAGTGATTTCCAAAGTGTTCCTGGTGTACAGCACTGTAAGTCTCTTTGCGTGTCTACATAATGTTGAGTGGGTTCAGTTGCATCTTGAAAACAAGGGTTCTTGGGTAATTGTTCTTTGGAAAGACTGTATGGATGTTTTCATTTTTTAAAACTTGGATTCCATTGCGTAATGACATGTTTCGGCTCACTTGAATAAGCTTAGTTTCTGAAGGTTCGGATGGTTGTTGTCGTAGTTCCGAGTTTAGTCGGGGTCATGACGACTGATGCTTCTGACTGTATTTATATTTTGGTTTACCATTTTTTGCTATTTATCCTCTATTCTGTTTCACAGCAAGCTCTTTTGTTGATACGGGCTTCGTGTAATTTTACTATCTGGACCTGGTATAGCAAATCAAGTAGATCAATGAAGAGTAAGGTTGCCCGCGTGTTTCAAACTTCTTTGTCAACAACCGTTTGTATTTTATTAATACTCACAGAGCTGACAGGCTAGTGAGCAGTTTGATTCCGGTTCTACCCATGTTGCAGGCCATCAGATAGACCTAGTTCCTGAATAATCGTGAATCGTATTTTGCACCAGTACATGTGGTTATCGGCCGGTTGAGACTGACAATTATTTTTAAATCAACTTCGTGCTGCAGAAAGGCAGAGGAATTGCACCGAAATTTCCCACCTTTGTTTTTATTAAATATCTAAAACTAGAGATTTGGCGGAATTTCTCGGGGTCTCATGTTATTACCAGATGAGTGTTTGACGCTGAAAATAACCACAGGAACTTTCTGGATCACTAATCCACCCCTACACCGAGAAACTTGTGTAGTTATTAAGGAGAAGATTCTTCCACTGATTTATTCTATCAGTGATCCTAGTTCATCGCTGAAAGACGAATCAATTGTTTAAGCTGTGTTGTTTGTACGATTTACCGGTGAAACTTACCCGTAGTCAATAAACTAGGGAGAAAGGAAGTAAGGATATTGAGTGAGCACTTTGATGGTTCCAGCCAGTATCGTTTGGGGTGAAATCGAAAAGTCACCAGCGGAGACAAACCATTCACTGTACTTCAAACGGCAACGAAATCCGTCAAGAAAAAAGATAAAATGGAGGGCTTAGGCTGGTTTTAACACGACTCCGCACATATGCGCAGCATTGAGGTACAAAGCTGGATACATCTGAACCCCAACGTTATAATGCAGTTCATCGGAATTTTAGTGCAAATGAACACCCGTGTATCATTCTAGTAATACTCAGCATACAATCTTCCGCTACGTAAGCATACTCCAAGAAACTTTTCATAACTGGCTTCTCTAATGACGAAGGAATTTACAACTGTGGCATTGAATATAACAGTCTCCTGTGTGCTTATCAGCTACCCCGAAGAATCCACTACATTAAATTCATCATATTTCCGCACCGTCTACTAGCTGAATAACAACATACACACATAAGCATGAAACTGAAACATCTCATTCTACAAACGCGGAAAACCGAACATTCCACAATAACACATTTTAGTGCTAGAATAACAAAAAGCCGGTTTACTACAAGATGCTTTGGTTTCATGACTTCTTCCACTGGCATCCTGATGTTTGCCTCATCACAGCCATTGAAAGACCTGGTTAGGAGTTGGTTTAAGTGAGAAAAATTAGCCTAAACATACGTCACCCATCTAGAATATGGCAAACACTTATAGGTTAGCATGCCACATAAAGCACGACTCGCGGACATTCATTTTCACTAAATAGTTGCTGTCTGGATTCACCAACTGCACGAAAGAAACGCCCTTCAGGCATCATTCCTGTCCGCTGAATTGTTTGTCTTAATTAACGAACAACCAATAAGCAAAAGTGATATTTTATGGGTTGACTGTCCGTGAAACGGCGTTCTTCACCAAGCTGTGAAAATCAGACAGGTTCGGTTGATCGAACTGAACTGTCACTACCCAATGCCAGTACAACGCGCGAAGCGGTTGAAATTATACGGATCATGTAGTATTTATCTTTCGGATTAGATCTCGACTGACAATCACAACGATCGGTTCGGTTCATTCCAGTGTGGTGTAGTTAAGGTGGTACACAGTTTTGCGTTCCTAATAAAAGCAGATTTTCGTCATAAGACAGTACACTTTTCACATCCTGAAAGCGATATATCATCAATTCATTGAGGCCCAGTTTCGTGGGTGTGAAACGGGTCGAACCTCAATTCTGTGATAAAGAGTAAACAGGAGTAACATAGCGAAATACACTCATTCGCAAATCAATTTGATTTTGCGAGAGACTCACCCGGAACCCAGTTTAATCTCTCGGTTTTTATGTTTTTAGGCAACTGAATGGGCTGCACCAGGCCGCCTCGTGTTTCAGTTGCTACGATATTCAAGATATCGCGATACGTATATATTCTTTGTAATGAACTACTCATAAGTTTACTGAAAACTCCTCGACAGCCCACGACTGGTTTCGCGAGAGTCTCAGCTGGAACCCAGATGAATCTCTCGTTTGTGACGTTTCTAGGCTGAAACAGGAGGCGGCCGGGCGCAGCACATTCAGTTGCCTGGAAACATCAAAACCGAGAGGTTCAGCCAGCTTCCAGGTGAGCATCTCGAAAAACCAAATTAACTTGCGAAGGAGTGTATTTCACTAATTTCGTGCGATTTGGTTTCAATTAGAACATAGTGTTGACCGAAACTCGGGGACCGCGCCTACCTGATGAGCCTCAAGAAGCGCGAAACCTGTCGTGGGCTGTCGAGGAGTCTTCAGCAACCTTATGAGTAGTGTGTTACAAACAAATGTATAGGGATAGAATAGGTTTGGGCCGATAATATGTAAAGTAAAACTCCTTACGCCAGAAGGCTGCAAACCTGCTGGGTTGGGCGGGGTACAGTTATTTCTGGTTGTGCATTTCCTTGTAGTTGCAAAGCGCCGCATACTAAAAGTTGACTGGATGGACAAGTAGCCGGCGGATTTTTTCTGGGTTAACGCACAGTTTTCGGTGAATTAATGTAGGCAAACAAAATAACAAAATAAAGGGACCGTTCACAACTACTGAGAAGAGAGCGAGGTCTATTAGCTTGCTACAGTCTATTTCAGTAGTTCTGTTGGTCTACCAAGTATTGTGGTATGAATATAGCATATGAGAGCCCGTACGAGGCTCCATAATTCTACATATATTTATTCTGAGAACACAGCCCCAGGTAGAAGATGCGAACATTTATGGTCCCAGCAGCAGAAAGCAACCACTTACGCCTTCAGCTTGACTAGTATGACGATTCTTCCGACAGGAAATTGGGAATAGTTTGGTGGAAAATTAAAGATGAGTGCTCACTAGGTGGATTTCAATAGGCGTGGAACATGCATGCTGGGATTTCGAGACAAACTTCGTGAAGGTAACGCCCTCAGATGAGGAATGAAAACGGAATTTCCATTCGAATGAATAAATAACCGAATAACTAACTGAATGAGCGAACAAACGACCAAAGGAATGAACGAAAAAAACGAACGGATTACTGAATGGGAGGATGAAGGAACAAACAAAATAACGAATGAATGAACGTAAGTATGCATGTATGAACAAAAAATATGGACAAACAGTTGTGTAAATAGTTGTGGAACTGTCCACCTCTGTTAGCCTGTGGTCTTATTCCCTCGAGTCTACACCGGGTACAGGTGGATGCGCGTGCATCTCAGAGTAAAAACGTATGTGGCAGTGTTCATTGTGTGTAAGTGCCCATCAGCCTATTTCGATGTGATACCCAAATTTAGAAGCAGATGCCAGCCAACCATTGGTGAATGAATAAATGAACAAATGAATGAATGGGATGATTCAGGATGATTCACCCAGCTTTGTGGTCGTTTGGTATTTTCTGTATAAAGCTTGTGCGCAGCCTACGTTTGCTGCCTTGCCTGACTGTGCTATCGTGAAGTGTATTCCATAAGCGAGATTTCCGAACATGGTAATATTAACTACAAAAATTGGGTATCTGATGATGGTAACTACAGGGCTGGTAATATAAACAATCAAGTAAGAATATTGCTGGTTTCCTGGTTCTCCTCACTATTCACAAAACTAATTTACTTGAGAAAGAAAAACTCCATGGTAGGGGACCCTCTATGATGATGCCTATGTCGACTTGGTAAAACCAGGAAGCAGCCAATGGGACGTAAGATCCAAAAACAAATGTCTTTTGAATGTTGCAGGTCTGTAAATTTCATTAAAGACTTGTACGAATGGATGGAGGAACTCGAGTCCGGAAACCGTGAGGGCCTTGACGATTCGGAGAGTGGGAAAGGATTTCAAAGACGGCTGGTTTATGGGGAATGAGAGATAGAATAATCGGGACTGGTAACGTAAAAAGAAAACCTGATAAGGTTGGACTGAGAGGCCTGGATCAGTTCGGAGGTAAATAGTGAGGCTGGAACGATAAAGTCGACTTCGTCTTAGCAATTATCTCGGCGATTGTTGTGACACATTAAAGGTAGGAGCTTTCAGAAGAGGCAGATCACCAGGTGAGGAAGAGCAGTTGACAGAATGCACAAGGTTTTCCTGGATTCCCGAAAATCACCTGAGAAACCCGCTTTCTGGAGACTGTGGCATGAGCCCATATTACTGGATATTCAGGAGGCTCTTTCTCCTCGGATCAAGTGGCTGTGTGATCAGTAGAAAGCTCTAGACAAAATAAGATTGATGGAAGTAAGACGTGATTGTTCCGGTTAAATGAACAACATC